GGGGGAAGCCTTCTGTCAGGGACTTTGAAATGCTGATGTTCAGACAGGCGTGATACCGGCCTGGAGTAGCCTGAATACCGGGCAGGCATTATACAGGGCGGGCTACCGGGGGCCCTTTTTAAACCGGTCGGTTCAAATGGTCGCCGGCCCTAAGCGCTCAGTGAGCCTTTCAGGGAAACTAGAATGATATACTCATCTCGACTATTTGGCAAGTTGACGCTCAGCTTCAAAGCACACCCCTTCTTTCAAGCAAAGGCTTGGAGGCTGGGGGTGTCACGTTTAACGTATGATTCAGAGCTTTAGTCTCTGAGCCAAATGATAGCTGGTTGGTTGCTCTCCTTGTGCGATGTTCATTTGAAGAAAGGACCTAACTCAAGCTTATTTCCACTGCAGTCATCAGATCAAGACAGCTTCACTATGCCTCAGAAGAGTAACACTTTACCAGTCTGGGGCAATGAGGCGTCCATGAACCTCAACCCCCTCATCTTGACCAACATACAGTCCTCACCTTACTTCAAAAATGAGCTCTTCAAGTTGAAGACCTACCACGAAGTTGTGGACGAGATCTATTTCAAGGTAAAGGATTAGAGACGGTCCAATTACTTTGTCCTTTATTATAGAAGTGAATGAGCGATGGCAGTTGATGGAAACAGTTATTCATTCNGTCCATCTGTTTCATCTTTCAGCGTCCAGACTCGACCACTCGGCATCAAGATAAAAAGTCTTTGATTTGGACAAGGGTTAGATTTTTCTTGATGCCTGTGTCTAACGATTGAATTAGAACTGCACATATTTATTTGATTTGTAGATTTGACATTTTACAAATTTAACTCTTGATTTTTGTTTTATGACCTGCGCCGTGTCTTTCTTAATTGGGCGACTTTTAATATGTCACTTTCTTTTATGCTCAGGTTGATCATTTGGAGCCATGGGAAAGGGGCAGTCGACAAACGTCTGGTCAGATAGGCATGTGTGGTGGGGTAAGCTCGATAATTGTTATAATTTTTGTAAACAAATATCAGTGGACCAACAAACCAGCTAATACCAAGGTTTTGTCTGGTAACTAAACCAAATGACATTTAAACTTGCATGCAGGAAAACTGTCAATTTAGCAATTGTGCACGTAGCTTGTTAGCCGGTGAAGCATCTTGTCTGTTGGACACCTTGGAGGTCATTTTGCTCCCATAGTTTGTAAAGCCAAGTGGTAGGTGAAGCGCAAAACATTATAACAACTTTGGATGACTTTTTTTCAGTTCAAGGCAAAATGTGGAAGACAAGTTTGGAAAGCTCTAAAAATCCTTGCATGCCATAAAGCATGATATCTGTGGTACAATGTGAGTGTTGATGGATGCCAGGTTGTTTTTATTTTCCCAGTTGTCTCGTCACGTTCACCGCCGATAAAATGCTCATTTGTCTTTCTAGGTACGTGGCGTAGGGGCTGGAGGCATCGTCTCCTCGGCCTACTGTCTTCTCTACAAGTTGTACACCTTGAAGCTGACCAGGAAACAGCTGAACGGCCTCCTTACACACATAGATTCCCCTTACATCCGAGGGCTGGGTTTCATGTTCGTCAGGTAGGTAGGTGCCAAACAAACATGCACGCCGTATTTTAAGTCAGGATTCGTCAAAGTCAGTAGGCATGTGGTCACACTTGAACTGAGACTAACAAACCTCAATCATTGGAGAATTTACGACTGCCCCGGTGAAGGCTTGCACGAAAGGAACTGTTTTGTCTTGGCTGGATTCCCAGCTGAAGTGGATCTCTATTATAACAGTTCTGTGCCAAGAGTGAAAGATGGCCAATTGATCTATGAACTCGTGCTGTTAACTACACTCGGATGCAATGCCTCAGTGTTGGAGCATTCACTTTTCTGTCCTGACCATTAACCCTAACCATCCCAAATCCTTCAAAATCCTCTGGGTGGTTTTGGAGGATTTTGGAGGATTGAGGTTGCATGGCAAAATTGCAAATTGCTGATTACGAAGAACGCATTGTCTCAAGGTTGTGGGTTAGACGTTGTGCTGTTTAGGTTCAGCAACTGGTGCATAAATCCATGACCTCATGGTATGTGAAATTCTCCATACAGCTGCAGGATGCCATTCACGCTGCCTCAACATAATCAGAGGAATTACCGGAGGATTTTGAAGGATTGAGGCAGTGGGCATCCCTCCACAGAACACATTCAAGAAATATCAAAGGATTTTGGAGGAGTGAGGCTGGATCCTTTTTTTTTCATGGTGGCTATTTGAGGATTTTGAAGGATTGAGGCAGTGGGCACCCCTCCACAGAACATTCAAGAAATATCAGAGGATTTTGGAGGAGTGAGGCTGGATCCTTTTTTTTTCATGGTGGCTATTCGAGGATTTTGAAGGATTGAGGATGTATCCTAGCCAGAAGGGCCTAGGCGGTTAGGGATACAATGAAATGGAAGAAAAAAATTCTGCACATTGGAGATGTGCTGATGGGGAATATGTAAATCTTTGTTACTGTCGGCTTTCCCACACCTGCTTTGCTTTGTTTGTGTCATTTCTAAGATATACTCAACCACCTGCTGATCTGTGGGAGTGGCTGGAACCGTATCTGGAGGATGAGGAGGTAGGTTGCCATGGTAACTGAAACCTTTTTCTCTTTCTATTAACCTTGATCCTTCCAGACCCTCCAATATCAATCAAGAGGTTGTGGAGGATTTTGTAGGTTTAATGAAAGATTAACAAAGGTTTTCAGCAAGTTGCAAATTCATTAGAGTTTAATAGAAGTAGTGTCTGTTTATAGAGTACACCATTTCCACATTTTGAGTTATTGAGCTATCTCATGCAGATTGGAGAAAACATCCCAAATTCCACTGCTTTTTCCCCTATGTTATTTTAACTCATTTTCTGTATGATTTGAATGGACCAATTACTCTACTGTTGGATTTATTTATTTAAGGCATCTGTCAAAAAATAATTGGAATGTGAAAACTTGGCCCGAGTTTGCTATGTCCACGGACTTTGTGGAGTGAGTGAAAGATTTTATCAAGTCTCGGCACAGAAATTATGAAAGCAAATGTAGAATAATTGGGTTAAACCACGCCACAGTGTTTAAGATGGAGTCCTGTGCTACATGTAAATTCTGGTGAGTATATTCTTCATAGGAAGCTCATTTGAAATGAATGTAACTTAAACATGTGTCTTTAACTACCTGCATTAATCTCATCCAGAAAACTGTACGGCTAATCCCTCCGAAGATACTGATAAAGCATAAGTTTTGGGGGAAGACAACTTCAGAGAGAGAAACAAAATGAGATCGAAATTGCTTTGCACTTTTGCCTTTCACAAATAGTAACATGAAGATTAAAATGGCACGTTCTTTAGGTATAACATGTTTTTCTTTTTTTGTGGATCGGTTTTAGAGTTGTAAGAGTCTCTACCCAGCTCAGTGGACGTTGCTCTGTGATTGACGTGAGCTGTATCCCTTCCCTCATTAATGAGGTTAAATACACTATACGCTTAAATATTACTGTTTCTTTAGGTAGTTGTATCGGAGACTTTCACGCTAATGACCATTGCTGAAGCGACATGCTCGTGGTGTTTCGAATTGAGCTAGCCACAAACTAGTTTTTTCATTTACTCCTAGGTGTTGTGAGAACCACTGTTAGACTCTGTACAAAAAAGGTTGTTCCCTTAGAATAAAAATAAGTCTTCCAGGATCATTCCTGACTGAAAGGAAACTATTTTTACCAAATTGACAGTTTGTTAGGGATGTGATGAGTGGATTAGACTTTGCACCTGAATGCCTATTTGGGACACTGTTTATACATAACGAATCTCAAACTCTGTTCAATTGTCACTTGTAAATGGACAGGCAACTTGCCCAAATTGTTATTTTACCTGGAAGGGACAATTGAATGACTCCCTTTTTTCTCCTTTGTTACTGCACTGGAGAGGTTGTGTTGATGGAGTACAGCAATCTAGTTAAAATGACCACCAGAGAGAACTGATGGTTTATTTCGATGGCTTTATTTTTGTTTTTGTTTCTTAATTAATCGGTCGTGACACTATCTACTTGCCTTTTTCAGGAAAGTTTTCAGTATGAAATTAAGTAATATGCATTTTATAAGATGATATATTAGCATAAATAACCAACTTTGAAACAAGCCTTTATCAATGGAAAGGTTCACCCATTCATATTTGGCTCTCTGCAATGACCAAACCAGTATCCACACTAAAAAGTCCTTCAGTTTGTAATGTGCTTTTTGTGTAGTATTGTCTTTCCATTTTAAACCTTGAACTGTCCTAACTGCATTTCTTTCCTGTTTATGTCTTTATTCTTCCTTGTGTAAAATCATGCGTCGCATTCTTCCTTTCTTGTCCTTCTGTTTCTCGGATCTTGATGGATTGGTGTGGTTCTCTGTTTCTGTGTACCTCATGTACCTTTGTTCTCTCTGTGTCTGGTCCCCACCTGTTCCTACCCACCTATTCCCCCTGCAGGAGATAGATTGCAAGGCAGGGTCTGGTAGTGTCATGACCATCGGTGAGATGGTGCGCAGCTTCTTGACCAAGCTGGAGTGGTTCTCAACTCTCTTTCCTCGCATACCGGTGCCCATCATGAAGGTAAGGCACCACTCTAGAAAGCCTGCCAACAGTTCTCGAACATTCGTGATTAGCAACTGCTGCCCTCCCTGAGTCTGGGGTGTAATTTTCGAATCTCGAATGTGAGCATTACCCTTATAACGGTATACACAGCTGGTCATGTCTTATGTACTTGTTTTGCATTCAGGACCTTGAGGTCAAGTTACAGGAATGGAAGGTTGGTTTCTTAGAGAGACAAAGACAGCAACAGTTGGAGGAGGGAACTGAAGAGGATGGATACCAGGAGATTGAAGGCGGCAGAGATGCAGAGAGACAGCCAAGAAATAGGTAAGCTGAGATTGCTGTCAATGTAAGAATTTCCTACCTCTTCTTCTCGGAGAGAAAGGATGACGCACTTTTTTTCCTGCTGATTTAGAGAAAAAACACGCAGTAGAAGTCGGGACCGCCATCGCAGTCGAAGCAAAGACCGTTTTCGCAGCCGAAGCAAAGACCGCCGTCGCAGTCGCAGCCGGGAACGCCGCAGCCGGAACGATGACCGCCACCGAAGAAGCCGCAGTCGGGAGCGGAAGCGACGCAGCAGGAGCTCTGAGAGGAGGCACCGCAGGAGCCAGGAGAGGAGCAGAGAGAGACGACGCAGTAGGAGCCGCGAGAGACGACGGGAACGCGACGGGGATGATTACTCGCGGGCCCTGCAGCGCGAGCGGGAGCGCCAGCAGAGGGAGCGAAGGGAACGGCGCAGCTCCAGCCGAGAGAGACGCCACAGTCGGGACCGGGACCGGAGGAGCAACCGTGACAGGCGGAGAAGCCGATCGTCCGATCGTAAAAAATCACATTCCGTAGATAAAGAGCGCAGGAGAAGCCACAGTCCTAGTCAGGGACGCAGGTGATGCTGAATATTTAACAGTACTATTTCTTAGTTTTTATGTTCTGTGCGAGACATTAGTTTATTGATCAGGTGCTTGCCAGAATTGAATGTAATTTCTGTACTTGTAGTCTTGATTTTGAAAGCATCTCATCTGTTAAGGCGGGTTCATACTTTGAGTGAAAGCAAACATGCAAAGTTTTTATATCAGATCAAATGTTCACACTGCATTTCACAAAAGTTTACGGCATTCAAGGCAGCAAATTTTGCCGCAAATGTTTCACAACATCAAAGTCACTTCTGTGTTCACCAGAAGTAGGAACCGCCCGTTATGGTCTTTAGTCATGCTATTCGTGGTTTTCAAAGGAAAGTTAAAACAGGTTGAGGCCCATGTATTCACGTTCAGAGGATTTCCTGCTTTTAAGGGAATGGCCCATCATTGCAGTCTACCCCGCAGTCCGACTTTCTTTTACCAGGTTCTTATCATTTTGATGAATGAGATGGGCTCACTTCTTGGACAGTGTAAAGCTGACAACTTGTGGTCATTACTCATTCATACAGAGATGCCCACATTAACACCAGCATTTCTGATTTGTCTTGGATGATTTCTTGCAAGTGCCACACATATTGAAAAATGTTCAGGACAACAGTGGCTTTATCTACTGTTAAAATGTGTTTGTCAGATGGGTTTTAGGTTTTGGGTTTTACCACAACTAAAACGTACGAAAATATGGCTGACGTTTCAGTTTTTTTGTTTTTTCCAGTTTTCTCATACGTACATATACGTTCCTGTGAAAAATGACCTGCTCATCAACCATCAGATCCAGAAATCATTCCCAGGTGTTGTCCTAGCCTGTACCATTTACAAATGTTCCTTGCTGGCTAGTTGTTTTAATAGTGCCAAAACACCTGCCAATGACTACTTTCTGCATGAACAGTGTTTCCAGAATCCCAGGGGGGCTGTGTGATTTATGTGTACATATGTCTTTTCTCTTTATAGAAAAAACCTCACTGTTTGGTAGCTTAAATTTACTTCATGTCATAAACTGTTTGCAGTTGAGCTATATAACTTTTGTAAAGTGTTTGTACATATATGGATTTCTAACGGAAGGCTAAACTAGAGTTTAATGTGTTGGGGATTTCTTTGTTCATTCTGACTTGAACACTTAAACATTTTTTCAGGATTTTCTACCAAGTTACGTAAATAATGTCCAGCAGGAGCTTGTTATTACAGGAGAACATTTGGCACCAAAGAAGTCACTGACATAAATGGCCCATATTTGTAAATGATGTCTGTTGCATCATACACGGTCAGTCACCTCAGGGCAAGTTCGGATGTGAGCTATAGATCGTCCAGTAGTCAATTGTTTTTTAACACTGCGCATGCGCAATTCAGTTGCACTCACACAACTCCAGTCGGTCAAGTTTTTAAACTCTCATCATTACTCACATTTCACTGTTGGCTGCGATTCTAGCAGCGTGCAAGGTCACTGAAAGCTCGTACAATTACTTGCATGTGAATGGTTCCCTCTAATGATAAATGAAATCAGCTATTGATAACTAGCGATGCGACCTGACCCCTGGGTCTGGTCCCAAATGGTCAAGTAAATCGTACAAACATTCATCGTTCGGGCGGTGTAAGTCGATCTGTAGTTAATCATCATCTCTCGAACCTGCCCTAAAACTCTCTGCATTACTTAGAATATTCACCGGCACCTGACATGGTCAAGTATTAACTCATGATCACATGCTGGAATTGATTGTAAATATTGGCAAGTGTACAAGATGTGCCTTCCAGCCACAGGATTGGCTTATTGTCATTTATGTTGGGTTTGCATGAGAGGTACATCTTGAAATATGTTGGGTTTCGCTCAGTATTCCATTACCTGCAGTCTTGCATTTTAAACAAGACAAGCTTTGGAAGCGTGTTCATCAGTAGATATGCTATGTACCTCAAAGGAATTTCAAAAAAAAATGTGAGAACTGTGCTTGCCTGCACTGTTTGTGACAGTAAGCCCCGATCCTCCTGGTGGTGGGTGGGGCTTAACTGGTGGGGCGAAAGAATGAATTTCCATGCATTCCCATTTATAAAGTACTGGGTTTATACTCCTGAATCTATCAAGAAGGCAAAACTACAAAATATAGAATTGAAGCTCACACGTCAAAGTTTGATAAATAAAGTTTCTGCGCAGTTGTAAATTACGAATATGATTTCCAAATACTTTTATTCATTGCAGTTACATTTTATTGAAATACTTTGGATTTGTCTATCCCAGAGGCCTAAATGGTTTTCCTAATTTTCAACGAAGTCATGGTTCTAGAATTTTTTTTTCAGTATGTATTTTGGAATAAGGAGTCTTATAATTGCAATAACGACACTATTCACTTCATCTATTGGTCAGTGTCATTTTAATGTCACAGTATCTAGTTAAAATTTGCATTTTATGCACTTGACATACACTCGACACAAATCAGAAAAAGACATACATCATACATAACAGATATACTCAAATATTGTTGAATTCATGCATGTTTATTGAGCATTTTTTTTAAAAGATTACATTACCATCATTCATAGATCTTGTTCTTTGATTTAAAGGAAAAGACTAGTTTCTATCTTCTGAAAAAGATGCGATTTCAATTCCTCGCTTAAAGCAGATTTTAAAAAGGCCCCCCCCCAAAAAAATTTACCACTTTTATTTCTTTGACTTGAGGTCATTCGGCATCCGCCAGTGACCTCGTCATATCAACTAACAATGAGGTCATGTGAGCAAAATTACATGACACACTTAACCTTGAGTTCACATCTTGTGGGCCGCATACGAATCTTGAGGTCGTTCATGTACACAGATCTTCAACCTTTGACCTTAGTGACTTTAATGTCAAATCATTCTCATGAGCATGCTCTGACGGTTGTCAATTGGAAAGTTGCAAAATATTTCAATCGAATTTGCTGCAAATAATTCACAGGTTAGGAAACTGTATTCGAGAGCATTGTTATAAAGCAAAATGAGACTTTCATTCGGAATAAATCAATTCAACTTTAACTTCATCGTTTGGTCCAAAGTTGACAGTGGAAATTTCACTCTAAAACCACTCCATTTTTAATCGAGAGAATAAAAAAGAACGATGAAAGTGTTCAACTTCACAATATTCAGTAAACCAGTACACATGATTCATTACAAAACCACCTTAGGAATGCCAACTGGAGGATGGAAACAAAATTATTTCCCATTAGATGCGATGTAAATCATCTCAGTACATCATCATGTAGAATTATTTTTGTCATGTCTTTGGATACTTCTCAATTGAAATTTAAAGAATTCCAAAGTAATACAATATGGAACCATACAGTGTTATCCTTAGCAATTTTTTCCTAAAATTATCAAGTCTGTATCAGCCTTTGATTAAATCATAATTGTGATATACGATGTGTGCATTTTTAAAAAGGAAAGTGAGACAAGCATGAACCAATTTCAGTCTTGCATATAAAAAAGTCGGTTGAAGTCAACTAACAAGACAATCAACCAACCAATCAATCAACCAATCAATCAATACCACATTGATCATTTGCTGCCCAGTGGCATCAAGCATGTAGACATGCTGCAATGCTGGGACAGGACTCCAGACCAATCAATAACAACTCCGTACCAGTGCAACATTATCTTATAAGCTTGGTGCCTTTTTGTTTCAAATAACCAACGTTCTTGATTTAGCTCTCAGAAGCCAAGCTTACAGAGAAATAATCAATTGCCTGTTCTCATCCTTGCCAATGGACCAATGCAGTTCCCTTGTACAGGTCTTTTACAAATGACACCTTTCTTTACAAATCGTGTCGTTTAAAAGTCAGTTATGACTGCAGCACTCAAGGCAATGCTCAATGCATGAATTTGTCTTCCCCAAGAGCGACTTGGCAATCTCCACCAACATGCCTGTGCGAACCTATAAAAATAGTATCCAAAACAAAACAGAATATTCCACCCAGAATAGTGTTAGGTATGCACACTGCACAGAATTAGAGTCCCTGTGATTTCTGATAAAGATGTCATTAAAAATTCAATAGACTGAAACACACTTCTGTAGATGGGATTTTCCTCTTTTTTGGGGAGAGGAGGGGAGACGAAATGAGAGTGTGATGTTGGATGTTCAAAGCAAGTTCAACTAGCTGAAGACTTTGAACAATCAAATATGTGCCGTGAAAGAAACCTTTGCAAGTGAAATGCCAACCACTTCTCACTTGAAGAAAACAGTTTCTATTGCCATTTTAGAAAGATGAAGATTTATGCACCGATTCTAGGCCTAGTGTAAAATTACAAATGCCCTGATGTGGAACTTGAAAGTAAAACAGCAATCACTAAAATAATTCTGAAATGGCAATTTTTTAAAACCTATTCCTTAATTTAATCACAAAGAATAAATAAGTAGATGACATGAACTACTGACATCACAGGGTGGGATTCCAAATTTGATCTTCACTTCAGCAACCACTTCACCAAGCTCTATTCCTTCTAATCCTTCAGCATTTTAGTAAATGCCTCTGTCATTCTAAGATTTTTTTAACACCCCACGAGGAGCATTCCTAACTTTTATAGTCTCAAGGATACTGCAAAGTTGATCTGCATGCTTTACACATACACATGCTTGAGAAGCGCACTTGCTTTGCGTTATTAACAAGACATTAACTTCACATTCAAATATTTAGGCATCCTGACATCGTTACAAGGATTACACTTTCATATATTTAAAAAAAAAAATTTGAACTGAGGACCAGCCTCAATCAATACAGATGCATCCTCTACAGACTACTGTTACAAATGTAAGATTTCTTGTATAAAATGTCACAATTTAAAATCAATACCATGCTCCATCGCTGTCTGGGTAAAGGCAAAATTAGCTGAGAAGTCTGATTCAAGCAATGCTTAAAAATTAACTTCTTGGGAGTGAACATGGCTTTTGAAACATGGACTTTTTTATGGGACTCTATAGATATATATGTTCATGTACAAGAATACTCTATGAGGAAAAACCACCATAGAGGTTGCTCTCGATCATTCACAAATCTGATGTTTACCTCCTAGTAAAGTTATTTACGGTTTGGTTCTGGTGGGTATAAATGTTTGGGCTTGTTTGAAAGTCTGAAGCACCAGCAACAACGCTTTTTTTTGGGACATTTATAGTGGCAAAATGGGCACAACATACAAAAGGGCAAGTTGGGATAGCCTGATATTCTTTTCAAATGAAGTGCGAGTTTGATATTTGATGTTTTCAAATGAAGTGTGAAACCACTGACCCGTAAACTTGACAACCCATCATTTTAATTTGAACAAGAAATTAAAAAAAATTAAGTGTAGCCAATTTCTTGATTAATACTTCACTTCATGCTCAGCATTCCATTATTTTCATTAAATAGGTCAGAGCACACAGCCTTCATCAACTCCCACTTTCAGGATACATGTACTGGTTTCTGAGTAATGCTTCTTGTATACATGTATACAAATCTTTATTACTCATACGCATTCAAGTCAAAGTCTGTTACAAGCCGCAGATGAAGCATGTCTGTTGGATCTTTTCTCTTGGCAATGCATGGAAAATTTGCACCCATACAAACAACAGCTGTGATCTCCTCTTGCTTTTCTTGCACAAAAACATACAGGCAGCTTTAAAAGTTGCCAAATGCATGCAGGTGAAATCAGTTTTATTCCTCAGTCCCAGACCGAACAACTGGAGGAAAAAAAGTCACTTTTTGGTTGAATTTTTGGGAGTTGGATATTTTGGGAGTTATTTTGTTGGAGAGAAGAACGATAGACCCGCTTGAAGCAATATGCTGGGGGAAGTGTAGCAACACCCCAACCCCAAGTCAGTGTCTGTTCAAATGCCAGGTGAAAGGTGAAAAGGTCAAAGGTGAATGGTCTCTTTACAGGCCACAAAGGTATGGGACTAGATTCAACACAGGACATGCAAATGTTGCGCTTGTGTACAGTAAATAACAGCCTTCGTTTGGTAAATAATTGAAACATTAATAGAAAGTTTCACGCAGGCAGTGCTAAAGCAGAATTTCGCAGGCAGTGCTAAAGCAGAATTTCTTTTTTTCTTCATTACTTAAAACTGTGAAATTATTCAATAAATAATGAATAGAAAAAGGTGGTCGTAATCTTGGTTTCATTCAATAACATTAACAGATGAAATTCTGCCACTGTTTAATTCTTACAGATCGCTGCTTGAGGTATTTATATTCCATGATAGATACATGAAAATTAAAAGACCAAAAGGTGTTTAAAGCAAGTTTTGAGAGAAAAAAAGATGCAAAATGGATTAGGGACCCCTATATTATCTAAGGTTTCATCCTCAGCATGTCGTTACAGAACCATCCCTTTTTATGAGCCGTCCAAATAATCTGTTTTTGTTTTGTCCAAGACATAATTTGAAGTTTACAGCACATTTAGAGATTTTCTGTAGTGTCTCTAACAATGTGAGAGAATGTGAGATATACTCGAGTGTTACATGTACCAATACTATGTATAAACGACGTGAGGATAGCAAGAAATTACTCAGGCAGCTTTAGTTTGAGATCCATTGACCTCCATGAAAAAAATCACCTTTCAAAAGTTTATTAAGACAAAAAAGATGCTGACAGAAAAAAACAGGTAATTACACGAAAGAGTTAGCAAGAAAGAAATGACTAACAGGCAGAAACGCAAATAATTCGACAGATGTTGTGACTTTCTGCTGTTAACTCATTTCCGTGCAGCATTTGTAAAACAATCTTCGTGACTTGCTTTCAAATATACCGTTGGCATTGTCAACAAAGCTACTTGTGTCTTAGGGAATGTGTCACAGATATGAAAAAAAAAACAAAATTGTGAGAAAAAAAATGTTCAATTACTACAAAAACAAAATGACACTGTTGACAGATTCGCTTAGAATTCATAAGAAATATGAACCTTTGTTCATGTAATTAATGCTCTGAATGGCATACAGCCAAGTAGAGATTAAAACATCTTTATCTGCATCTGTGAAAACACTGCTTATATTTGCACTTAGTGCGCTGTGTGTTCTTTCCATTTGAAAATGAGAACAGAAAACAAAACAGACATAAAAAAATTGGTCAACACTCCCGGGAAAAAAACCCTGACTATACCCACTGGTGGTCCCTTTCCATACAAAAATCAGGAAAAAATGTGAAAGCATTTCTTGAGAGGCAAAAAAGAGAGAATCATTTTTAAATAAACTTGGCTGCGGAAAGTGTCATCATCTTCAAAGTGCACGAGGCGGGAACGATGTGGCAGATTGAGCAAGCTTACCACACGCTTCAGTGAGACGATAGAGGGCGCCCTTCCCATTGCCAAAGGCCGGCCGGGTAGTGGCAATCAGGAATGCTGGCACCTGTCCCGTAACTCCTCGCGTATCGCCTCCTTCACATGTAGTCATGACATCTTGTTGCCGCAGCCCTGCTTTCGTTGTCTTGTTCTGGAACGAGATAAAAAAAATAACATACATGAACAGCCATGATGGTATCTGCACCATTTCCAGGTGAACAAACTATGCCTTCATATCCGTGTTCACTAAATCTGATAAAGACAGTATTCCATCTTCTGACAGTGTTGCATACGCTGGTGTACTGCATAAGGCCAAGTCAACCAATGCTGCAAACATATTTGTACACTCAGGCAGAAGAAATTTGCCCACACCGATGACCTCCATTCTTTCATTTCAGTGTTTATTTTGGTATACGGGCGGCACATCAAAATAAAAAAACAAATACTGCAAGTGCTCTCAAAACAAGAGCAAAAAACCTACCAAACACAAGGTGTCATATAAACTCATGTCAGTGAATGAAATGTCAACTCCCACTTTACAAAGATTTGGTACAAGTCTTGTTCCAATATATAAAGTTAACTAACACCACATGATTCCCTGGATGTCATACACCAACTTCCAGTGCCTTGGGAGATCACCTCTGCAATTTATCAGAGTTGTAACCAAGTCATTTTTTTCCAAGTCAAGTCAAGTCAAGTCCCAAATCAAATTTCATCAAGTCAAGTCTCAAGTCATTTTTTTTTGCAAGTCAAGTCAAGTCTCAAGTCAATTTTTCTAAATAATGTGCACCAAAACTAAAGTGATAAATGTTTATAATTTCTTCGTTTTGTTCAGTACTTTATTGGTGGTATCTTTCACTCTTCATACTGACTGTCCTTAAATGATAATGACATGGCTTGCCTGTCTTAGTGTTGGTTTGTTGGTTGAACATGCACAATATTCACAATTTTTGAACCCAAAAATCACCACTTTCGGAGTAGACATGGTGTTCAGTCGCCATGTGTTGGGCAAGGAACAAAATTGGTTCCTGCCGTCATCATTATCTACATGCGTGCGGGAACCAGTTATAATAATTATGTTTGGTGCGCGTGCACATGATCGCAGTGCGAGAAGAGAAATCATACTACTGGCATCTAACCAGTGAATTTTTTTTTTCAAAAAGTAATTTTTCCCTCCCAAAAAATATTTAGGGCTTTTCTATTCAAATACATTGTACATGTAATAGAATCTGGCATAAGAGATTGTGAATTCACCATTCCAGGTCGGCGCCTGGATTGGTGATGGTACATGTTGTCGTTTTCCAGTCTTCACGCGCCTAGTGGTAAACCACTTCACAGTATACAGTGACGTGGGCTCTATAGAAAGACCGTTCTTAACGGATGTAATCAGACTACGCATAGGCCTATGCCTCGGGCCCACACAAACTTCATACAGCCCACACGCGCCATGACGTATGCATGATGTGCGGTGGTGCCAGTGGAGGAAAGCCACGTGACGCCGAGCGTGGTTCTTTTGTTAGTTTGCATTTTTATTTATTTTAAGAAAAGATTTAATGTCAATAAGTCATTTTTTTTCAAGTCGAGTTAAGTCTCAAGTCTTTTGTTTTCAAGTCAAGTCTCAAGTCATTTTTCCCCAAGTCAAGTCAAGTCTCGAGTCTAAAAAATAGCAACTCGAGTGCGAGTCAACGACTCGAGTCAACAACACTGCAATTTATGAGCTTTTTCCACACGAGTGGATTCGGCTTCGACTTCAGTTTTGCTGGTTTCAGTCAGAGCTTGAACAGGTGGTTTTAAATGCTGCTTCAAAATGGCTAGAACCAGCTTTTCAAAATGTAACAACTTCAACAAAGAGGTTTGAAATTGAGGCTTAAACCCTGATAACAAGGAATGAATGTACTGGCCCTACTGACACTGCAAATATTTGGCTTTCACTCAAACAACTCTGAGGAAAGACAAAGCCAAATTACCTGGCCTCTGTTCTGGCATTGGTGTACTCGAACCACAAGACGTTGGGAATCAGGGTGGAATCTCGCACCATCAGGATCTCGGCTACTCTCAAGGAGACCACGCGGGGATAGAGAGGGGTCAGGAAAACCTAGCACAGCAAGGATATGCAGAAAAGTGGAAGGAGCTTCTAGCTTCACTTTGAGCTTTACTTTGGCTGAGTGAGGGTCTCCCTTAGACCGAGGCTGATACTGGCTCAAAATCAGATCCAATTGGGGCCCACCTGTGCAGTGGCATAGCTAAGGGGGCACGGGAAGCCACATCCCCCCTCCCTATTCGAGGCCCGTGTCCCCCGTGTACCCCTATCAGAAATTAAGGAAGGAAAACCTACTCAAAGTCCACCTTGGTCAGTGTTTTGACTGTGACAAAACCCACCGAGTGCCCCTTTCAGATAATGAGGGCCCCCAAAAGTACTCCACTGCAAAATACACCCCAGTTACACCACTGTACCTGTGGACTCAGTTTTTTTTCCTACTTGACCATTGTTTTTATTCGAGATTCACTTTTGTGGATCATTTTTTGTACTGGTCTTTGTAGAAAACCTTCAAACAAAAGTTCTTTTGTCTCAGGTCCGATGTTGGAAACTGAAGAAAATAACAATCAGTCCAAGTTTTGAAATCAGCAGAACTGCAGGTGGGACTTGAATATCACTGTTTCTAAGGAGTCTCTGAAGCACCACATACCTCGTTAAAGGCAAACCAAGGCACAGCCAGGATGGTCCCCAATAAGGCTCCGCATACCACCTGTCTCACAGTATGGTAGGCAAGATACACTCTGAAATTAAACCAAACACATATCACACATCTTAAAAACACATCCCTCTGGATTCCCTCTGGGTTTGTTTCAATGTAGTTTTGATGTTGAGTTTAAAGAAGTCACCTGAGTCTCCATGTGCTTAAAAGTCTCACTGAAACATAAACTCTCAGAGATTAAACGCAATTCAGCCTTTTGATATTGGCTGATCTGTAAATGAAACAATAATCTTGACTGCACATTGTAAATTCTGTAAATTCTTACCTGCTAAAACTAACAATCAATGCTAAAACTGTGGTCCCTATGGCTAGACAGTGTTTCCACACTAACTCTAGTAGACTAGTGGAGCTATGCTGCTGAAGTCCTAGCCTGAGCACACAAAAAACAAAGATGGTCGTAGAAAGGGCCAAGACTCCCCGTAACAAACAAGTGTTTGTCAAATTAAGACTGTCTGTGATTTCAAATGAATACATGCACCCTTACTGTAATTAAAGATATTGATATATATCAAAGGGTATAAATATGAACGTCCTTTTTATAAAGCCACACACAGGCATTTATATGTGGTGAACGCAGATATGCATCCAACTCATATGACACAACAGTTCAGTTCCATATTTTCAAAATCAGTATCATTTTTAAGAGAATGAATTCTGTACACCAGGGTTTAGCACTTTTATCACTGACAACTCCTTTGCAAGGATGGTACAACTACCCAAAAAAATTGTTCTTTTTGTGAAGAAAACACCGTCTGATAAGTCAAAATACATGATTTTTGTGGTTTACTGTAGTACCTGACATAAATAAAGAGAACTACATAGACTGCAAAGAACCACATGAACTGGGAATGACTTGAAGGCATGCCGTACTCTGAGAACAACATCTCCTGATTACCTGCAACAAACAAAAAATCAATCCATAAATACAAAAATACAAGCAAAAATAAATGTCTGCAATAAGCACACATTTTTCATTTTGGGTAAACTTTAATGACATGTCTAAAATTATACAAATTAATATGTATGTACCGTAGAAGGATTTTTAAAATTTTATCTTTTTATTTTCATTTTCAAGGTTCATTGTTCTTTCCCACCAGGCAGAGAAGTTGGCATTTTAATGAAATCAATTTCAGAGGAAAATCAATTGAATCAAAGCTCACTGAACTCTGAAAAACTAATCTCGAAGGAAAAAAACCAAGCAAGGAACTGGGAAACAATCTGTAAGAACAGGAGAAAAGTATGTGCACAGTAGCCATGGAAACTGTAGCCATGGAAACTGCCTGAGAGGACAGGAATAAAGCCCTATCATTAAAGAAAAAATCACGATAAAGGCACAAAAATCCTGAAGTTGTCAGTACACCTATGGACCGGTGATATTAAAACATAAGTGATATGTAACAACATTACTGGTCCTTTTAGCAATAACTTGTACATGTAACTTGATACTAGGATTGTTAAGAAATATGTATTGGGTAATTCCAGAAATTAGGGGTCCATCTTTTTGTGTCCCTGTCACATTTGACATATGATTATGTAAGTTAAAAATACCTTTTTTTAATTTCCAAGAGTGATGAATTAATGCAAATTACCTGCCAAACAAATAGTAATAGGCTGAAATCAATTCCAGTGATATTTCCATGTCAAATAACAAAGGTTAACAGGGATAAGAAAATGCCAAACTTTTGGACTCCTGATTTCTGGAATTACCCTATTACAAAGTGAATTATCTTGTTGACATTCAATTACAAACACACATGTAAAGTACTAGTCCATGTATTCATTGTTTTTATTAACCCTAACCCCCCCCCCAAGGGTTGCTGGCCCTAACCTTCCCCATTCACACCAAGTTAAACACCCACATGGGACTTTGTGCACAGAGGCTGTTGGACTTTGTTTTTCTGAGGTATGCCAAACCCAATACAAAAGCCAGCTGTTATGGGCCTACCAGACCTATCCCCACAGAATTAAACACTTTACTACTGTTCAATTCTGTGTGGTTAGGCAAGGTTAGGGTTAATAACTTATTTCTATGCTTTACAATTTACATAGGGTTTTACATACATGCATACTGTACTACAGTCTGTACCGATGTTTCATTGTTTTCCGTGTTCACTTGGAGGGTAAGATAGATACAAACCCCGGTGCCTTGTGGACACTCAGGAGAATAGCAAATTCTAAAGAAGAAAAGGTCTCCATAAGGAATTCACAAAATAGATATATTTGGAAATTACTTAAATAGGAGGGTTTATTAACCCTAGCCATCCTCAATCCTTCAAAATCCTACAGGCGGTCTGGGAGGATCTTGGAGGATTGAGGTTGCATGGTAAAATTGCATTGCTGATAGCGAAGGATGCATTGTCTCGAGGTTGTGGGATAGACGTTGTGTTGTTTAGGTTCAGCAACTGGTGCATAAATCCATGACCTCATGGTATGTGATATCCTCCATACAGCTCCAGGATACCGTTCACACTGCCCTAACATGAGAGGAATTGCAGGAGGCTTTTGGAGTCCTGACTGAGGCAGAGGGCACCCATCCACAGAACATATTCAAGAAATATCAGGAGGATTTGGGAGGACTGAAGCTATATCCCATTTTTTCATGGGGGCAGTTGAAGGATGTTGAAGTATTGAGGGTGTATCCTAGCCAAAAGGGCCTAGGCGGTTAGGGTTAATGTGTAATTATCATTATATTTGGTTGAAAATGCATCTCAGGAAAGTGACTCTGGTTCAAATGCGAGTTTTCAAAAACACTATTTTACCTCCAAGTTTTCGGGTACACACAAATAAATTTTTGTATGTGTGTGTGTCAATGACTAGGGTTTTTCCCACAATTTAAGAGACACGGTGCCTGCAGCTTTGGTCTTCATTTCATCACTACTGTGAAAATTATTCACAGCAAAGTATCAAGATATGGCTTCTATCAGGCTGCGACATTGTTGGCTTCTCATACTATAATAATGGATACAATCACGAACGTACATGTATACGTATGTACATACATGTACATACATACACGTATGTGTACGTAGCTACACATTGTCACATCTCTGACAAGTATGCACTTTGCATGCACACTTAACGACATCTAATAAAAGTGATTACTATTGACAACCAAAGCAAAAAAGCAGGTTTAATGGGATGCATCATTCACTCTGCCAGTGTTTGGTACATGTACATCTTTAACTCTGGTTGGTAAGGCAAAATTACATTATAAACGAGGGCTCAAGGGTATTGTGTTGATTTAATATATTCAAATAACTTGGCCTTAGGCGTTCTATTTCCTGGGGAAGTTTTATGCAGCAAAAACTGAGATGACATCTTGATCTGTGAGGCTGTTTTCATTTGGCCTAACCTGCATTCAATTAGGAATCAGGAGAAATGCTACATGGAAATCTAGCTTCTAGGTTGACAAACAAAAGGACAGCCTGCATGTCCAACAGACAGACAGACAGGCCAGTCACATGACTTACCCCTTGCAGGTCTTGGCTCTTTGATGATATGCTTTGTGATCCAGTTGACAAACTCGTTGAACAGGATTCCACATAAAAATGTTATCTGGAGGGTTAAAAAACAAAGGCAATGAGCAGGATTTCTTTTCCGGGGAGGAAAGGGGAAGGGTTACAGCTAATTTCCTCCAAATATTACTCAGCTACTAAGCTTCCTGTGACTTCTACAATTCACTGACAACTAAGCAGTACATATGCATGACAACTTCTACCTTTTTTTTTTTTACACATTTCAACAAAACTGGGGAAAGGTCTACCCAATGTTCAGCAAAAGCCATTTCAATTTTCAGTACAAGATCCATCCAGTCCCGAAACTCAAGAGTTCCTTTCACAACTCTATAACTGAATTACTGGCCAATGTTCTTAAATTGTTTCTGAAAAATGAAAGGGGATTTAGAGTGTGGCAAATGGTCAGTTGTCTCAGAATCCTTTCTAAAGACCAGACTCAAGACCAGTCACAAGTAACACAGTGCACAATGACAAAAGAGGACTTGTGATGGTGTTAATCAATTGCAACACAGTCAGAAATAAATGTAGACACAATTTCCAGAACACAAACAAGAATCTTTTACACGTACACTTGTATGTAGGACATCACATGAGCCCTGTGGATGCATAGGCCTACACAAGCATACATGTACCAATAATCACTTCTGTTTTTATTTTTGCACGGAGGAATAAAAGGACAACCATTAATGAAAAAAGATTTAAACAGCTGATTTGTCATTTGGATAGGTACATGTATGTGTACGGACATACGCAAATGCAATAGTATCCAGAATGTTTATAAAAATGTACCTTTAAGGTATCCAAAGATAGATCAGGGGAATGCCACATGAGGGCCATGGCTCAGGGGGAAAAAAGCACAAACATTTGTTTTTGAAAAATAACAAGAGAGAAAGGTGACTTTGTGGGGTCTGTTTCATTTCCCTTCTTTCCATGTAAAAACAAAATGAAACCTCATCCCTCAGAAAGGCCCCCCTCATCCTTCTGGCCTCAAAACCCCCCCCAAAAGATGCTCAGGTCCTGAGTCTATTTAGAGCTTCCAAGTTGCTCCCATAATGGAACAAGGTGATGGCCTTAGAATGGCAGTATTTGACATGAACATGCATTTTAACTGAAATACATCACTACGACTTTCTGATTTGATCAGAGTCACAGCTTCCTTCCTTGTCATCTCATGTTTAAGTCAGCTGATACTTTGCAGGCATAGGCTGCATCCGAATCTCTTGTCTAGAGATAGGTCTAGGTCTTCACTCCATTGGAAATGCATGGAGACGCGTAGACAATAGACCTAGCCGTAGCTTTGGAAGCCGGTTTGAGACACTGCCATAGTGTTCAAAATATGCTTTAAATGTACATGCATACTAGCCTCTAGATAGAGGATTCCTTATAGCTCATTTCTGCAAAACCCACAGAAATGTCACTGCAGTGCCAGACTTTCTCACAATCAAATTAAAAGTGGCCAGCGTT